GAAGCCCCCCCCCCCCCCCCCCAGTCCTTCCCCATGCCCCCCCCCGCCCCCCCCAAGGGGGGCCCACCCCACTATTTGAGAAGTACTGGTCTAGAGACACATGATGTAGACAGTTTGGTGACACCAAGAGGACGGGGTGTGAATGACACCGACTTCTAACCAAAGAATTGTTGAGGCTGTAATTTGTTGCCACAAAAAAAAAAAAAAAAAAAAAAATTTTTTTTTCCCAAAAGCCGTGTTCAACAAACAAGAGTTTGGAGGAAATTCATAGAAAGTCTCCATCGAGGAAACATGTCGTGAGAACTCAACAGTCTCTAAATCCATCAAACTAAGACTCTGGACGGTTTAAGAAACATGAACGATCTCCATGAAGTGATTTTTTTCTCTCTTTCTTTTCAACTGAAAGACTTGGAAAAAATAAAGGACTTTTCTGTCTGACCTCGTGTGACGTTCACAGACACAGACCTGGAATCAGACGAGAGTTTCAATTAACAGAAGCAACAAACAAACCAAAAAAAAACCCACACAGAAAAAATCAAACCAAACAGAACCAACAGAGCAGGAAGTGTGGCAGAGGTTTATATAAACATGAGGGGCGGGACACAGGTGCAGCACGTTAGCTAATCAGGGGCGGTGCTAACTCAGGGAAACAGGTGCAGGGAGGAGGAGGAGGAAGAAGGAGACTTGACACAAACACAGAGTTTTCTTGCTGACCTCAACTGCAATAAAACAAGTAGAATTTTTATTTAATACTTCAGAGTACTACTAAATATTTTAGTTTTTTTCACATCATTATCAGTACTTTGTACCAGTGACATCATCGCTGGTCATTTTGGATTCAAGGTGATTTGACGTGTTGTTCAAGAACAGCAGCAGCAGTAGTAGTATTTACTATATATGTAGATATGTATTTATATGTATTTATTAAATACTATTGCTAAAGTTGCTGCTGACGAACAGGATCAACAACAAACATGAACAAATAAAACATCGTCCAAATTTTTAAACATTTTCACAGAGATTCTTTTTTTGTATTTTCAATTTTCAAACATTTTTCTTCTGATGCCAACGATGCTCAAACACTGGCAGGAGGCCCACGCTGTGGTGTCACAGGCTGGACGTTTTCCCCGCAGGTCGTCAGCTCCAGGTGATGGCGCCGTCATGACCTCCAGCAGTTCTCTGTTATTTCCTGTCACTCTGTTCCACTGTTCACCAGGGGGGGGCAGAACTGATCGACCTTCAGCAGCAGAAGGTTGTGTGTGTGTGTGTGTGTGTGTGTGTGTGGGTGGGTGTGTGAGACCAGGGTTCCGTGGTGAGACAGAGCTGTTGGNNNAAAATATATTTAAGAATGAACTGTTTGTTATTAACTACAGAATAAACTTCTGAATAAAATCCTTCGTTTGTTTGTTCTCGTAAATCACCAAGAGCTAAGAACTAAAAACAAGTGACTTAGTTAATGACCAGAACAACTAACTAAGAACAGATTACCTGGTTATTTGCAAGAAGAACAAACTAAGAACAAACTTAAACAAAACAAACAAAAAAAAAGAATAACCTACGTTGGTACTTGTCAAGAAGCACAAACAAGTTTTTATATCTTTCAAATTTACGTGTATCGTCTGCATAGAAATGTATATTTTACAACATGAGAAAATAAAACCCCGGTGAATCTCCTGTTGTGCTGACGATGAAAGAAACAATAATGAAAAGAAAACCTTTTTTCTTTAATCATTTTCCACATATCTTATATTTTATGTAACAGCGTCGACGTAAATCCTCCACTTTCTCATTTTTGTAATTTCGCACATTTGCATAAACCTGATGAAAATTAAAAACCAGCGAACACGGCGACGGCGACGGCGAACTCCGGATGGAATCAGAACGACACTGTGTCTCCATTAGTGTAATTGTTTAAGGGTTCTTTTATGTTTGGAGCGACTTCACGCTGCGTTCATTAAACATGTAAACGACTGTGTTCTTCCCGCTTTAAACTGAGCTGCTTTTAACGCCACCTCTGCTCAACCCAGCGCAATAAGTGTGAAATATTTACACAACAGCAGCTTTTAAACGATTAGTGACAAAGGCGGCGTTTTAATCCTGCCGCCGCCACCACCGCCGCCGCCGCCACCGTGCCGTGTTGGTGTTATTTTGTTGTTTTTGATTTTTCTGCCTCTTTAATTAAAAACCATCACTCATCCCAGGAACATTACAGTGTTCTCTGCAGCAGACTGCTGCCCCGTGTGGTGCCCTGCTGCCCCCAGGTGTGGATGATGATGCAAGCTGACAGGTGGCATCCTGGGTAATGGGGTAAAAACCTTCATGACGCCAGACTGGCTGAGGTCCTGTCTCAAGATTTTAAATTAACCAAGCCTAATTAATCACTAATTAGTGGCTGCAGGAAGCCCGCCGTCATCACAGTATAATTATATAATTTACAACATTGTTTCCCTAAGACTGGGTCGCGACCCTCAGGTGGGTCGCAAGAGATTTTTTTTTTTGGGGAGGTCGTCTCGCAGCATGTTTCTCAGGAGTTTACGAATAATGTCTCTTGACTTCGGTCGTGAAGTTTTGTGACTTTTAAAATATGGGTCTCCAGAAAACACTGATTTACAATATATAAGTCCGATATATTTAATATATTCCATATATATTTATAGTCAAATATATATGACATGAATTATATGCAGTGAAATCAGATTTTTTTTATTGTCATTTCCGTGTTTGAGTTGAATGGTGCAAAAGTTTTAGGCTGCTGTCTATATATATATATATTGACAATATCACACCCAGGGGTCATAAGGTCATGAGTTGGGGTCCATTACTGCCATCATTCTTTTAATGGAATGGAATGAATATATATAAAATATGTGTGGTTTATGGGCCACGAACCAGGAGTTTGAAACCTCAGATGTTATCCCTTTGTAGAGACTTTAGCTTTTTTACAAGTCCAAAGCCGATATACAGAGCTGGAGGCCAGTTCTCACTTTCATTAAATGTTATATAATGTAATGGTATAAATTTAAATGTGGTTTTAGCGCCATCTTCTGGAACCTGTAGCATCTCTGTGATAAGAAAACAGGACCAGTCAGGTCAGGGTGGAGATTGGGTAGGTTTGGGATGTAGCTTGATTTTTGGGTCACGGTTCAGTACTGTTCGGTACTGATCGCTAAGAATAGGACGCAGGTATTAGAAACAGTAAAACAGTCGCCTATGAATAAATCCCAAACCTTTTGAATCATAAATTTGTGACCGGGTCATCTGGGTCATGCTGTGCCACACGTCCTGTCTGCTGTCCACGATCCAGATGTTTGACAAAGAGAACAAACAAAAACGTCTTGAGCTTCTGGTTCCTGTACATTTATGTTAAGTACTTGAAACAAAAAACCTAAGACTCACGCACGTCGACATTTTCTTGCAATAATTTCATTTATTTGTTTTTTTTTTCTCCATCAAAAGAAATGCCCAGATCAGCAAAGCCACTACATACAAAGGGCCATACAATAGCAGTTTAACGTTTGGAGGAGTTCCGTCATTATCAGTGTCTGTTTTTTTTTTTTCAATTTTATTTTATTTTATTTTATTTTTATATATATATATTTTATATTTTTTTAAGTTTACACGCCATACATTGTCATTGAACATTTGCAGTTCCAATGCTGCATTCACGAACCGTAACGAAAAAAAAAAAACAAATTCAAATGAAAGAAATAAACAATCGTAAATTCATACCAATGCTGTTGTTTCACGTTCGCAGTCGAAACTCTGGGCCACGAACCAGGAGTTTGGACAGCAGTGAAACGACTGTACTTACATACAACAAAGAAAAGACCAAGTGTTGCATAGCTTCATTGTAATGTAGATACAGTACAGTAAGGCACTTCATGAACGAGGGGAGGCATTTTATACTTCTACACAAACCACGCCCTTCCTCTACTCTAACACCTGGTTTCACACCACGTTTTTATTTATTTTATTTATTTTTTCACACCTCTGCGTCTCTTTTGGCATTAAGTCTCCTGTTGAACATTCTCAAAATATTGAAGTAGATTTTTTTTTGTGCATAATGTGAATGAAACCGTGTCCTGTGACGCCACGCAACCCGCGGTTTTGTTTTGTTGTTTTTTTTTTTTTTTTTTTTTTTTTTTGTTAAAAAAAGACAACAAAAAATATATTGTGCAATGACTCGGGGTTATGTGGAGTACAAGGCAACACGCCGTCCCGAACAACGACCGAACGTCCGAGCAGGTGACTGCTCATTATCTCCACACGGTGGCGCTGGACCGACGCTGACGCAGGTAGAGAAGAAGAAAAAAAATTCCTGGTCTTTCATCAGGCCGGGCCGACACCTTTGAAGGTTGTCGTCTGTGTACTGTAGTCCAGAAACTCCATGTAGGACTACATCTCCCAGCAGCCACCAGTCAGTCTAGTACAGATAGAGATGAGGACGAGGCGTGGGTTCTATCCCAGCTGATCTTCGTACTGTTTGCGGAAGCAATCTCCAGCTGGGAAGAAATCCCAGCATCGCTCCTGGTACATCTTCCACACGTATGACTCCTGTACACACACACACACACACACACAGACACACACACACACACACAAACAACAGGATGTAAAGATACCATCACATAGACAGAGCCGCGGCTGTGACTCAGCTTCAATCATGTCGTCATCAAATGTCATCAGTGCAGCTCTGACATATCACTGATCAGTGAACCAGTGTTATCAACCAATCACACGGAGCAAACTGACGTCCTGACGGGAGACATTAGTCCTAACAACCTTTTCTCTTATTTCTAATTTATATATATATATATATATACATATATATATATATATACATCTATACAGTATATCTATATATGTATATACATATATAGAGTATATACATATATGTCTGTATATACATATATACATATATGTATATATATATACATACATGTCTATATATGTATATATATATATATACACAGATGTATATATGTATATACATCTATGTATATATGTATGTATATATGTATATATATACATATATGTCTATATATATGTATATATGTATATATATGTATATATAACTATAGCAGCTGAAGGGCCTCGAACCTACAACTGTCTCGACCCAAGTCCACGTCCTTCCCCACCAAGCAACCACTGCCCCTCCATTATTATACACATATATATAAACTGTATATGTAGTATGTGTATATGCTGTACACAATACATATACATATATAATACATATATACTGTACATATTTTATATATGTATATATATATATATGCACATACTGTACATGTACTGTGTCTATGTACAATATACATGTATATACAAACATATATATATATATACACAAAACAACATGTTTATATATATAAATGAAGATGTTTTCAGGGGAGTCTCATTGGACCAGACAGTTTCATTCTCAACAGTAGTAGTAATAGTAGTAGTAGTAGTAGTTATAGTTACGACAACTGCAGTAAAAGACTTTGTAGAATCCTTTAATGTGTTTTGCAAAGTTTTGGTTTCACTGAAGCACATCAGGATTTAAATACCACCTCATGTGTTTGTGGAGGATTGATCACTGAAATCCCAGGTCGATAACACAGGATTTCTAAGCAACGTTCCGATCAGAGGACTCGTTCTAGGTGGATGTCTTTCACTCCAGGTCAAACTTCAAACTTCTTTGCCTCCACTAAGAACTGATACGAAGTTCCTTTCAAATGTTTTTTTTTTTCAGCTTTGGGAGAAAAAGAAAATCTGGCGGATCAAGATCTAAACCTGTTTTATTTGATCAGACTTCCCTTTAAACCAGACGACTGATCTGCTTCAGGAAAAAAACAAGCCTTTGTTGAGAGTTGATTAAATCAAACTCACAGATGTGACGATAAAACCTGTCAAAGATCTGTTGATCCAATCAAACACCTTTTCAAATGACGACTGTCTTTGAACTTCCTGTCTGATCCTGTCAACTCCATTATATGGAAACATGCATCCAACAGAGGAGCCAGGACTCATTTGTCCTTATGGTGACTTTCAGAGAACCAGATCTGACTGGTCGTGAGTGTCTTCACACTGTACCTGTCCTGTGTGCTCCGTCTCGTCCTTGTTGATAAGGTACATCAGGAAAAACCTTAGAGGGAAAAAAAACCAAACCAATCAGATTCAGACACAAATGTCACCGCAGCGTCAGACTTCACAGCCAACGTCACATTCCTGTCTTAGCAGAGAATCAATGACGTGACATTGTTTCCCTCAAACCGCTGAGCCGCTGTGTCTCCATGGACATCATCTACGTCACGTCGCCAGGATGAATACGAGACGAGCGCTGACGTCAGAGACTATTTTCCTTTAAAGTTCAGGTCATTAAATAGTCATGAGGTCAAATGATGAGACTCCGTCCCTGCGTGTGGACCCAGACCTTTTATTGTTACAGGTGTTAAAGACAGAGACGTTGGACGCAGCGTTCTGCTGCTGCTGTTAGCGACAGCAGCGCTAATGCCGTAGTGTTCAGCCGAAACAAAGGTAAAAACAGTGTCTCAAAGAGTTCAAAGGACAGAAGTCAGACAGGTCCGTCCTCTTTGTCCTTCATAAATTTAACACCAGTTCAAATCAAATGCAGCGTATAAAAACAATTCAATCATTTCATCATCTAATCTAATCTAATCTAATCCACTATAAAATAAAGTAATTTAATCCAATCTAAACTAATATAGTCTGATCTAATCTAAACTGATCTAATCTAATCCAATTTAATCTAATCCATTCTAAACTAAACAAATCTAATCCAATTCAATTTAATCTATTCTAATCTAATCTACTCTAATTTAATCTAATATTAACTAATCTGATCTAATTTGATGTTATCTAAAATAATCCACTATTCACTAATCTAATCTAATCTAATCTAATCTAATCTAATCTAATCTAATCTAATCTAATCTAATCTAATCTAATCTAATCTAATCTAATCTAATCTAATCTAATTTAATCCACTGCTAACTAATTTAATCTAATCTAATCTAATCCAATCTAATCTAATCTAATTTAATCCACTGCTAACTAATTTAATCTAATCTAATCTAATCTAATCCAATCCAATCTAATCTAATCTAATCTAAATATCTGAGCTGGTCTATCTTGATGGACGGCTGCGATCACGTGACCGTGAACCGCCGTGTTCACCACTTTTCCACAGGCAGCGTCCCTGAGGTCAGGTACTTACAGGTAGTTGGCCAGATTGTGCTCTTGTAGGGTGTGTGTCTCGAAGCCGTGAGGTGTGGTGTCGAAGTAGTCGTTGCCGATGCCACAAATGAAACATTTGGTCTGAGGAGAGAAGAACCAACGGTGAGAACCACAGAACTCTGGACAGCAACAGGAAGTTGGTACAAAAAGAAACTTCTCTGTGGGGTCTGGATAAAAGTGGTGAGATGGGATTTAATCCTGTGTGTTTTTCAACCTTGGGGTCGCGGCCCCACATGGGGTCGCCTGAAATTCAAATGGGGTCACCACAGGTCATGTCAAGATTTGCGATAAAAAGTCAACGTAGGAAAAACAGAGACAGAAATCTGCAGTTATTGGATCGAAGACAAATAACTTCCCGACAGAATTCCAGTTTCTGGAATGTTTTCCTCTGTGGATGAAAAGTCCTCACCTCCATGTCCTCCTTCACCTGCTCCTGCTGGTCTCTCAGCTCTCCAAAGGCGTCGATAATCAAACCTGCACGGACAGATGATGTGAGAACTCATGGCGTACAACACAGTGTGACGACGTGTTGTGCAGCGCTGCGGCGTTAGCGCACCCTGGATGATGGCCAGCAGGATGACAATGACGAAGAAGAAGAAGGTAATGTCGAACAGGATGCGGTACAGCTCGTAGGGGTCACCGGCCGGGTCCTCGATCTCATCCCCGATGCCCCCCCCTGCTCTGACTCCAACGTACATGTGGAACAGGTAGCACTGTGGAAAAGCACAGGGTCGGGATAAGGCAGGCGTGGGCAAACTACGCCATCTATTGGGGAAACGTGGGTATTGCAGGGAAAAGGCCGAAGTGTAATGATAATATAAACAAATTAGATAATTTGGAAAGGTTTGGCAGGGCCGGATTAATAAGATGGACGGGCCGCATCCGGCCCCCGGGCCTTAGGTTGCCCATGCCTGGGATAAGGATTTTAATTTTAAGGCAGAGATTCTGTAGAATAATAGAACTGGGTCGGAGTTTTTGGGAGGGTTGTAGGTTCTTAGTCGTCTTATCATCGAGGGGAACTGGACGGAGAAGGTTTCTTGGGAGTTTTTGGGAGGTGTAAACATTTACTACAGTCTTCATCCTTTCATCCTGTTTTTCTTTTTAATTTTTTAGACCAAATTAATTCAACTAAAAAAGTCGTACTTTTTGTAAGGAAAAAAGAAATATAGGGCTCGTGGGCTGCTTTTTGGACCGTTCGGTCACCAACAGTCTGCTGGGCAGCCAGGCTGTTCAGCCTTGTTTCCCAACCTGTGGGAGGTGACCCCAAAAGGGTCAAGGGGCGGGGCTTAAAAAACTGATGTTAATAGAAACTCTTTAATGTAAGAACGGACCCAAACAGGCCAGGATGGAGCAGGACACCTTAAATACTACTTATAAATGTACGAAAAAAACAAAATACAGTCCTGCCTAAATCTTTTGCCCCACCCCCGGTCGGTCATTTATACTCACCGTCATCATGTCGTCGCACTTCATGTCTGGCTCGTCGTCATCCTCACTCTTGTTGTAGAACTTCCTGAAGAAGTTGAAGGCCACCACAGTGTAGAGGTAGACCACGACGGCCAGCAGACCCACCGTCAACACCAGCTGAGGGAGGGAACAGACGACAACAGGGATCAGCCGGTCGTACCGTGAAAATATATTTCATCACTGAGGAATTTTTATAATTAAATATGGAAATGAGATTGGAAATAAACCAAAGCAGTGGTTCCCAAACTTTTTTTTGGCACGTGACCGCATTTTGATATCACAGATTTCTGGCGACAACAGAAATCAAGATGCGGCAGCTCATATATCTTTTAATATGATGTATTTTATTTAAACTAATATTTATCTAAGTGAAAAAATAGATTGCATTTTTAATCACAATTTTAAATAATAATTAGTTAAAAACTATTTTTATTTAACTATTATTATTAATTACTAGACATTTAAGGCGACCCCATTTGAATTCCAGGCGACCCCACATGAGGTCCCAAACCCCAAGTTTGATACCTGGCACAAAGCTCAACATGACAAACAGCCCCCAAACTGATGTAGAGGTGAATTAAAAAAGCATCAGCACGCTTCATTAGGGCTGACAGCTCCATTGATCTGCCCCCAGGCAGCAGAGGGAGTGGGGGGTGCATTTCTACCAGGAAGATTTCAGGTGAATATCTGCACTTGGGTCGTGGAGACACTGAGTTTTATTTTTCTGCCTCTGGTCTGTTGTGTCTGGAGAATACTCCAAAAACCCTGAGAAGTCTATATTTGTCCACACAGACCCCCTGGAGGCCGGACACTGAAATTACATGAATTTAAAAAAAAAATCAAATTTTTGTCTCACATTATTATTTGATGTTTATGGTTTTGACAGTTATTTTCTCTCCTTTTTCTGTATTCTTGGGACTTTGAAATAAAAAAAAAACAAAAACAAATGTTAAGAAACATTAGGAAAAAATGTGTAAATAAAAAAAGAACAGGATGTGAAACAATAATTGTTAAATCTTGATCCTCAAGATTTTTTGATCTAGTCACAGGCCGCAGTGGATGGTTCCGCGGGCCAAATTTGGTCCACGGGCCACCAGTTGATAAAATAATATGCAGGAATTTTTAAGAAGTATAATACAGTAAAATAACTCAAGATTTTTTGATCTAGTCACGGGCCGCAGTGGATGGTTCAGTGGGCCGAATTTGGTCCATGGGCCACCAGTTGATAAAATAATAAGCAGGATTTTTTTAAGAAGTATAATACAGTAAAATACACATCAGAATACTTAGTGTCTTATAAATAAAAGATTTAATGTAGAGTATATATTTGTCACTGCACTGGCAAACCCAGCAGGTGGCAGCAGAGAGGCGAGAATACTTAGTGTCTTATAAATAACAGATTTAATGTACAGTATATATTGGTCAAACCCAGCAGGTGGCAGCAGAGAGGCAGTGTTAATTAAGCCCTGGTCGTTCTGTGTGGATTTTCCATTTCCAGAAATTGTGGATAATGTGAACTGCTTAGTCTGAAATCACCATCGGTGTGAATGTATGAATTCATATATGACACGAAGGTTTTGGCTACAAGAACAGAGTCTTCGGTGACCCCTACTGCTGAGTCAACAGTCTGCAGCCCCCTCCCTCCCCCCCTTAACTCCTCACCTGTTTGCCATTGTGTGTGACGGAGGACAGGATGGTGCGGAGGGTCTTGAAGCCCATGGCGATGTCCAGAAGATGTGCGGCGAAGAAGAAGTTGTTGTAGTGGCCCAGGATGGACATGGTGGTGTACCACACCAGGTAGAGAAAAGACTGGCACAGAACCACCGCAGAACCGTTAGCGTCTGTGATCAATCACCGACCTCACCACACAATCGAAACCCCCCCCCCATCCCCTCCGCAACTTTTTTCCCACTCCGTCTCCAACAAATGAAACAGAACTGAGACATTAATCTTTCCAACTCACGTTGTCTGTAAACACGACTCCCATTTTCCAGACGTGGTACTTGGTATCGATCGAACTCAACCTGGCGACAGAGAGACACGGTGATATGAGAGGTTCAGATTTTCTCATTGACCCTGATTGTCTTTCTGGGCTCCGTCTGTGCGCTCTCCTACCACGACACCAGCGAGGCCTCTTTGGCGACGGCCTCCTCTGTGGGGTTGAAGTCCAGAGCGCTCTTATCCAGGCCCAGCAGCTCTGCTATCCTCTCCGCTCCATACAGGTCTCCGTACTTTTTAATCACCTACAGGCAGAAGAGAGGAGGACGACGGTGTTGGTGTTGGACGCTGTCAATCGTTCAGTTTCTGTCGAGCACAAACGCCGTCGGCCACTTACTTTGCGTTTGACGAATTTATCCCAGTAATTGTTCGGAAAGGAACTGATGAGCAAAAGGGAAGAAAAACAAGATAAGCTCCAGACGGCGGTCAATACGGGTTCATGACTCACGGGTTTAATAACTCGACCCGCGTCTGACTCACGGCGTATTGATGACCAGCCTGTCCCACTGTCCTTTGATGTCATCATCCGACGGCTGCTCCGTGATGTAAAGGCCGGCGAATTCTAACTTCCTGGCAATTTCTTTCTCCCGTTTGAAGACCACCAGTGGAACCTTGGACACAGACGGGCGGTCAGTGACATTTACTGACGACACTGACGGTTGACGTCAGAGCGGGGTCAGAACTCAGAAGAGAAAATGTTTAAAAGAGCTTTGAAAGTGAACACAATTTTTGACTTGAACAAATTCCAAAGTCATATATTTTGATGTGCAATAAATACTACGTGTAAATAAAATACATTCATATTTACATTCATAATCAGTTACACAAAATACATCTGCTGTTTAATTATATTTTTAATAAACCAAAACGTATTTAGCGCCACATAGTGGTGGAGATTGAAAGTGCACTTGCTGCAGCGAGAAGATCACTGGTTCGAACCCCAACTCTCAGGACATACTGTTTGTTTTAATCATTCACTCTGAACCGACAGCAGGTCACTACTAAACTATTCAAGGTGTATGCTGCCCTCTCCTGGTGACTGCAGGAACTGGCTTCAGCTCTCCCTGAGATTTTCAAATCTTCAAGCAACACAGCAGTGTTTAAAGGTTCCACTTGTGACTGACCTTCAGGTAGTAATATCCCACGACACACAGGAACGAGATGATGGTGTGCAGGATCGCAAGACAGCGAAGCGTTGGCGCCATGTAGCCCGTGCTCTCCTGGAGGACGAAGTACTCGAGCGACCCTTCATCGTCCTCCTCCCCCACTCTGCCGCGACGACTCCAAGGGTCTTCATCGTCTGAGGACTCGCCAGTTACCTTGAAGATGAGGAAAAGGTTTTGTTTTTGTTTTTTTCAGTCTTCATCACAGCGTGTAAACTAAGGACTTTAACTCTACAAAACCATTTGTAGCATATTTGCTACGTACGATTCTGAGGGAAAGTGTTTTGAAGAAGTGTTCTACGTTTTCCAAATGTTGTTTTGCAGGTTTTTTTAATTTTGGTTTTAATGTTTTATAAATATCTCAGTTTCAAAAATTTATAATATTCAGTTTTTTGATTTTTTTTTCATGTGTCAGGCTTTACAGCAGCTGTGTCAAATTAAATTATTATTATTATGAATTAGTTATTATTATATTGTTATTATTGTTCTTGTTATATTAATAATAATAATAAAATGTAAAATCTTTTTTAAATTTTAAAAATTAAATTTTACAAAATAAAACTGCATCAAGCAGCCGGGATTGAACACCTTGGTGGGCCGATTTTGGCCTGCGGGCCATATGTTTGATGCCCCTGCTTTACATGGTTAAACTTTTAAACTTTATTCACATCACTTACTTTGTAGAAGAGCAGAATGAAGTTGATGGCAAAGGCAACAAAAAGAGCCAGAAATCTGAGGTTGTAGAAGTTCCTGGCCAGGTAGTTCTGCGGAACAAGAATTTGGAGTTAGGTTCAGTTATTTAGGCCGTGCGTCTACGTCCTCACGGTTGAGCTGCTGAAAAACCTCACCAGCATCTTAGTCTGGTAGACTTCCAGGCCAGCCAGGAAGCTGACCATGAAGGCCTCCGGTGGTTCTTTTCTTTGGCCCAGCTTCTTCTTGGGGGCTCTCTTCTCCCCTGCTGAGTGTTGGGGCGGGGCTTCATCCTTGGCCTTGTCGTGATCCTTCTTCTCTCCATCGTCTGAGCTGCAACGGTCGGATTCACCGTCAGTGACTTTTACTGATAATTAGGGCTGTGTGTTGGCAAGAATCTGGCGATACGTATCGCAATATAGGGGTAACGATATACAGCAGTGTTTCCCCATTGTTCCCAAAGACTGGGTCGCGGCCCTCAGGTGGGTCGCAAGAGTTTGTTTTTTTTTCTCACATCATGTTTCCCAGGAGTTTATGATTAATATCTATAGACTCGAGTCACAAAGGTTTGTGACTTTTAAAATATATGACCCCAGAAAAACAGTTTGGAAAACACTAATATAGAGTAGTACGCAGTATTACTCCGATAATATATACCAGAGGATATATTTAATTTTTTTCCGCAGGTTTAAATGCAATCCAAAAATGGCATGAATATTTTCATATTAATTGTTGATTAAAAAAAATCGATACAGTGCTGTAGAATATCGATATGGTATCGTGAAAAGGAGAATATTGCGATATTTCCGTGTATCAATATTTTCTTACACCCATACTGCTAATTGACAGACTCAATTACACGTGTGTACTTTGTATCTTTAACACTTCAAAAATAACTCACTCTCCTTTTTCCGAGTCAGACTTGTAGTCTCCGTTAACGGCATTTTTCTTTGCAGCCATCTGTGGAAAAAAAAAAATGAAACTTGAGATTCATCAAGGAAAGTTTTTTATACAGAACAGTTTCATGTTCTGACCATTGCATTCTGGGAGATCACTGACCTGCGCCTTCTTCTGCCTGACAGCGCTGGCAATGGACGGCGCGTCGCCCACCACCACCTCCGACACGTCACCCAACCCCGGCTCACTCCCGTGCTTTCCCTCCCTTTTGGGTTGTATGTTCAGCAGCTCCGCCATGAGGTCCGCCTCCGCTGCCTCCCCCTGGGCTATCTGACCCATCTCCGCCAACGCCGAGGCTTCGCTCGTCTCCATCTTCTCGGCCTCTAGGACGTCTCCGTGAATGCCAAACTGAGTGGGATCGGGCATGTTTCCCAAAATATCTGTCACTTTCATATTCTTGGCTCCTTCCACGAGGCCGCCGCCAAACATGGTGGTCCACAAAATGTGGAAAAAGCCCCAAATGAGGGTGTAGACAAAGTAGAAGAGTCCGGTAAAAATCATCCAGAAGAAGGAGAAGAACCCGTGGACCATCTCTTTGACACTCATCTTCTTAAACTTCCTGTACTGTCGCCTGATGCTCTTCAGAGTCAGCATCTGCCAGAAGTGGCAGAAGCTTTTCCTGAAGGAAACGCAGGCCATGGTGAAGGCCGAGGAAGACTCCAGCATCACGTTCTCCTCTTCTTCCTCCTCTTCCGGGTTCTCCACAGCACTCTGATTGTCCTCTTTCTCCTCCTCGGGGTGTTCCACCGGGTCGGGCTCTGAAATCTGAGAAGCGAGCTGCATCTCAAAGATGGTGTCCTCGCAGAAGTTGACAAACAGCTCCATCTTTTCGCTCTCTCCACCCTCGTTGACCACGTCAAAAATGAACTGTCTCTTTGACTCCTTCACCTGTGGTTTTTCCCACTGGGTGCGACTGGACTCGCTGATCTCAAAGTAGACTCTTTCGATCCGTTTGGCTCCGCCCATGATCTCGATGCGCCCCAAAAAGGGTTCAAAGTAACTGAGGACACTTTCGGCCAGGTCCAGGAAAGTGGAGAGACGAGCTGCGGGAGGCATGTGCTCGGAAAGATTCATCAGCAGGACCACTACGTTGAAGCCGATGTCCTTGGCGGGTTCGTGGAATCGCTCCACGAACTGCTTGTAGCTGAACATGTCGTTCTCGTCGGCCTCGGCGCACGAGAGGAGAAACTCGATCTCCGACTGGGAGTACTGCTTCTGGTTCTCCATGGACTTCTGGAAGTCCTTCTTGGAGATGATGCCTTTGCTCTCCCGATCGTACTCCCTGAAGCTGTCCGAGGTGGTCAGGTCCTTCAACTTGAGGAACATGTCGAAGAACTTCAGGATCATCTCCATGTTGCTGGAGGACTCAACCAACGTGTCCACCATTTGCTTGCCAATGGTTCCATTGACGACATTCCCTGTGAAAGGAGAACGTGGATGCGTCAGTGCGACACCAGAACATCACGTATTTAATCAATATTTGTTATGAAATCACCTTCCAGAAGAGACAGCATCATGACAATCATGTCCTTCTGGAGGTCCAGCAGCTCCTTCAATAATTCAATCTGGCTGGAGTCCTTGTAGAAGAAAAGAGAAAAGATTTCTTTTAAAAGATTCAATTCCATTCCACTACCTCGTACAGAGTACTCCGTAACCTGGTCTACCACCAAAAAACTTTAATTTCAAAGTTAAAGTCCAATTGTGAAGACCTGGAGAGGACCTGCTTGGACCCAGAAGACCCTTTTAGAGAACACCCATCCATCAGAACAGAAAGGTCAATGACAGAACACAGCTGGTCAGGTCAGACCAACTGATTTACAGACACTGTGGTTGAACACGTCATAAATCTAAGCCATAATTAATTTTGTTTTTTTTATAAAAGTTTTTCTTCTCTCATTCATTCTGGTTCATTCTGTCCAAATAAGACAAAGACAAAGAGACACAGTTTAACCCACTCCTGACTGTGACCCGGCACCGCGGAGGCTGTGGTTATTATTCTTTAAGCAATGGCGACCTCTAGCGGCCACAGCTTTTTTTACAGAATACAAAAGCAGACTAAGACAAATAGAAGTGTTCCACAAAGGTTCTGCCTCAAATACATCACGAGACAGAAGGAGTCGAGATAAGATTTTATCTCTAAATTATACAGATACTTTTTCAGAAAAGGTTTTTTTTTTCTGTTTCCATAAAGATACAACGTATTTTACTTGAACCTTTTTAAAAGGCAAAAGTAAAAACAACCGTGTTGAGACTAACTCGTTTTATATGAAATGTTTTAATGACAGTTAATAATGTGTAAACAAAGTCAGAAAATCACAAGAAATCTTTGGATTAAAAGTGCAAAAAACTGTATTTTTTATAGCTGTGCATCAAACGTGAATATATGTGAAAGTAATAATAATAATAATACATTTTATTTCATGGACGCCTTTTTGTCACCCAAGGACACCTAACAATACTGCAGACAATTTTATGTGAATTTAGAAGTTGTTGTAGTTGTAGATTGTGAGGATTGAATTTAAGTGTAAGGATATTTTTGACCGTACGTTCGACTTGGTGATTATTATCGGTGATGATGCGATCGATGGAAAAATCCCATGTATTTATGCGCATATAAGCCAAACCCCCCCGATTTGATCTTGATTTTTTTTGGTGTTTTAAATTCAACTTATATATTGTCCCAGTGTTTTTGGAGTGACTTGCAGTTTTTTTTTCTGTCCCTATTGAAAGTAAATTCTTGGGGGTTTTTTTGGTCCAAATACATTAAAGAAACAACAAGTTTTACTCTGTAAAAGTACCTGCAAACCAGCACATACCTGGGATAACTTCATCTGCATGTTGGCAAACACATGCAGAAAGCCCACGACGGCGTCCCACAACCGGCTGTGAGCCAGACTCTGCTGGTTCCCGATGCACGGACCCTGAGGTAAAAAGACACGGAGCCGATGGAGAGATCGGACAAAAAACATTTTAGTTTCCGCACGAGCTGTAATTAAGACTTTTTTTTTTCCTCGTAGCGTTGAGATGATGTTGTTGTTTTACCTGTATGTACTCCGTCAGAGAGTTGAAAACCTGCTTGGCCACTGACAGAGCTCTGGAGAAGTTCCTCTGTCCGGCCTCGTCGATGATGTCTTTACCGGAGTAGTACCAGTAAAAGTCACTGATGGATTCCTGAGGCACAGACAGTACAGACACACCTGGTGTGATACAGGAAATGACTTCACACACCACACAAACCTAACCTGGAGTCAGTATCAGTGACACACCTGTAGTCTTAGTAGGTAGTCCACGGTACTGATTATGATGTTGACCGTCGTGGTGTTTCCTGTCTGAGTCCGCAGGAAGTTCTGAAAGTCTAAAAACACCAGGAGTTAAAGAGGAGTGCATTTTTTTTTGTTTTTTGATTTATGGATGAAGTTCCTCCTACCATTGTTGTGACCTTCACAGAGGAGCTGCAGGAACCTAAAGAGGTCCTTGGTGAACTCATCGTTCTGCAGCACTTTGGAACCTGAGGACACGAAACCGTTTTAACCTTTAGTTTTAGCGACACGAAAGGTCAGAGGCCGGGCACCGTCACGCCGGTGACCGGCCTCTGAGCTGGCATGGCTTTTACTTCCTGTACACACTACAGTACTGGAACAGCACTGAGTATGTGCACTGCAGTATATTCACACTCCAGAAACACACACACAAGGTACAGTGCTTTTTTTTTTTTTTTTGAAAGCTTTGCTGCATCTTAAAAATCTTAAAAACAAAGCTTTTTAATTGTATTTTTTTGGCAACACATTAGTTTTCATTTCAATTTGACATAAACACAAAAACGGAGTTTTTTGGGCAACACATTAGTTAGTTTTCATTTCAATTTGACATAAACACAAAAACGTTTCACACAAATAATAATTTCGAAAAAAACTACGAAAAGAGAAAAAAAAGAACTTCTACTAAAAGAGTCTGCGACACCAGACACCGTGGACTGAAGTGGATGTTGAAGAAGCATGCATGTTGTTCTTTCAGTCCACGGTACAAAACTAAATAAATAAATATAAATAAATCAAGTGGTATTGTTGCATTCCAGGCGAGGGAGTTGGAGGGAGAAGAGGAAGAAGGAAACGGGAGCAGGAGAGGAGGAGAGAGGAGAGGAGGACCGGGGGGGGGGGCAGCAGGGAACTGAACTAGGAGCAATCAGGATGTCAGCATTGCATTGAAGAATGAGAAGAATCTGAACCATGTATTTACCCCGCTCACTCACGTTGACTGCAACCGATGACAAAACGTGAACGTAAACAACAAACATAAACAAAACAGAAGCAGACATAAGCAAAGGAGAAGACATTGAGATTTTCGTTAAAGAAGGAGTGGGAACAGAGTAAACGTTAACGTTAACGGCTAATCTTTACAGACACTGATCCGTGACAGCGACAAACAAGTCGGTAAAGTCCGCTCAATCGGCGGCAGACGGGGGGGGGGGGGGGGGACTACAGGTCGATAGACAGGACGGACAGTTACCATCACTTATGCCTGAGTTAATGAGGCGGGAATGACTTGGAGTTAGCATGAAGTTAGCATCTGAGCTCGCGTACTGTATGCGTTTCTCCCATCAGATTTAAACAGTGGGGGAAAAAAATAGCAGGTGGACGTCCGTGTGCATGTGGTGGTGACTCTGACTCCAGAACATGACAGACACAAGGCCCACGTGGACTGGGACATACAGCAGCGCTGGTTTCACATGCAATGCAGAAATGACGCACAGTGTCGCCCCCCAGAGACCGACGTGACATGGCGATGGGAGTATATGTCACAGAGATCTGAGCGAACTTTTTTGTCTGGAGGTAACGGTAACAGCGTGGATCCAAATGAGTAATGAAAGTAATGTTTACAGCATTTTACAGCACAGTCTAAAAACACAGTCTGATTCAGATTACCGTCTTCATGGACCTCACTTACTTGATCCTTCTTCAGTCACCATCCCCAGACCCTCGGCTTTGTTCTGTCGCTCAAAAGCGTTTAAATCCAGAACACTGTTGAAAATGTAAAAATAAAAATATTTTTTTCACGTAGCATTTTAAAACTTTTTATGACAGTAATATAACGTGTGGACACTAGGGGTCAGGATTTTTCTGTTGGAAAAGATAAAAAAAAACATAACTCAAAAATGCATCATAACGCATTGAATATTTGATTTAATGACAAAAATTAAGGAATAAAAAAATAAGTTCCATCACCTGCAGGACATCATGAGTCCAGATAAACTTTTGAAGAAGCCAACGTCTCTTTTCTCCTTCAGGTAGTCCAGCATTTTCTGCATGAAAAACACCAGTACAGTTTACCCCCTCCCCCCAAAAACTGCATTTTGTTTTTATACCATGTACAGCGTCATCATGAAGTACTGCATGTACCTGCTGCACTAAGGTGTTTCCCCCGTTCAGGATGGAGATGCCCAGTTTCAGGGTGACCGTCACAGTCGCTCCGAGTCGACCTGAAAATCACAAACACAGACGATTAGACCTGACACTCGGACCCGTGAGGCGACTGCGTCCCGGTGACTTCCTGCCTTTGCTGGCGCTGATCATCTGTAGCACCATCTCTGCAGCCCCTCGGTCGTGAAGCCGCGCCTGCTGATACAGCATCTTCTGCTTCTCCATTTCCTTTTCCTATGAGTAATGACCGGAGTCAGAGGGTTCGGACGGCAGTCGGAAAAAAAAAAAATCTTTTTTTTTTTTCAACCCAGAAAGTAATCAAAAATACCTCAAAGGTTTTTTCTTTCCCTTCTTCGTCCTCTTCTTCCTCACCTTCAGCACAGCTCTGAAACAGAAAAAGAAATAAAGTGAAACACAAATCAAAACCGCTGAACCTATTTTTTTTTTCCAGGAATGTTAAGGTCGTGATACCTTTGCCATCATATCAGCATACGCAATATACAGAGGGTCGTCTTCCACAGAACTAACAGGAGAGAAGAAATGAGTTACATTAAAAAAATAAATCATTAGTGTGTTAACAGAGAACAGTAATACATGGAGATAGTGCTACACCCACAGAGTCCTGTATTTTAGTCACGATTAATCGTGATTAATAATAATTAATCGCATTTAATCGAAATTAAAATCGGCTTCATTTCCATGATATATATAGCATTGAATACAAAGATATTAGGCTTGTGTTTGATAATCGGATGCCATTTTATTCATCTTTGTGTTAGCTAACAGCCATCGTGAGGTAAATATGTTCATGTCCAGTGGGCGACCACAGAGAAGAGAATTAAATATATATAAATGTATGTACAAAAAACCCCATACGTAAATGAATTCAGCTTCACAATAGCGCCACCTGCACGGTGGAGCAACAGTGAGCGCGATGTGTTCTATAAAGAATGTGGCTACTGTGTGCGGTGTCTCCGCGGTGCGTTCACCTGCACTCCGTCAGTGCGTTGTGGCTGAAGTGCAGGATGAGCTGGTGCAGTGGGTCTGGCTGTTCCCTGACTTCTTCTTCTTCCTCCTCCTCCACTTTGGGCTGCGTTTTCTGGACACGACCACAGAACAGTTCAGTCAGCATCAACACCACTGAAGCACGGAGAGAAATCTGCAGCTGATCTGAGGCTGATACAATATTAATATCCCAAACAGACAACAACAGGACGTGCTGTCAGCATTCACAGTCGGTGACGCATGCACTCACGGAAGAAAAAAAAAAAAGTCAGACCCTGGGAGTGTTCAGACGACTGTCACAGAAATACCTCAATGTATGAAATGAATGAACAGGTAACTGGCTAATTTGATACAGTATGTACAGAAAATTGGAGTGTTCAGAAGTTTGTCAGATTAGGCAATGAGTCGGGATGTCCGAGGCTAGCTTTTTGCCGATATCCAACATGTCGTTATTGTCCAACATTTCATTTCCAATTCAACCGATACTTTTTTTTTTTTCCAAAACTATTTCTTAGGTCACATCACATACAGATTCTCCTGTTGTAGAATTAAAACATCACCAACTTTTACTGTGATGCCCCACTGGATCTTTAAGAAGATTCCATCCTCTGGTGAAACCCAGGCGCTGCGTCATCGGGTGTTCATTATCGGAGGAAAAACGATTTCTCCCGATATTACATAATTATGCTAATATCTGGCTCTGACTCATTACTAGAGTTAATGAGTTGGTCCGATATAATCGGACAACTCTAGTGATGAATCTTTGTAAATCATAATCTTCAGAAATTAGCAAAAGAAAGTGGTAAACAACCGACTCGGCATGTGTTTTATTCCTTCTGTCGACTTCAAGCCTTGACGTGAAAGTTTAAAAAAAAAATTAAACTTTCACGTTCAATAATTTACCAAAGTAAATTTACAAAATTTACTTTCGTAAGTTTTTCGTTTCAGTAAGTGGAAGCATCGTGGTTGGATGCCCTCTTACCTCAGATGGATGGAAAACACTACACACCACTGGACAACAGCCGGCTCTGACATCAGCAGTGATGTCATGCTCGCTAAGACGGAACTGACATTTGGACAATGAGGGAGAGATAAGGAGAACGAGGAGGAGGAGGAGGAGGAGGAGGAGCACCAGCCTCTGGGTCAACACAGATACTTACTGCAAGGTCCTGCACTAGCTTCTCCTCAAATGAGTACTCCTCTGTTTCTATCCATATTCTCTGATAGGCCAGGAGGAAGAGGTTAATAGAGCGGTGCCTACGGGAGGGTGAGAGAAGACTAGCGTGGGTTAGCGAGCAGAGGAGGGACGCAGTCACTTCCAGGAGAGGTTAAGACGTGTTAGTGTGAGGGCTGCCGCATCCAGTCGGTCACCTTAGGGGAGATGAGGTCATCACCGCACAGCGGTTACACACATTACTGTACATGCTCGCTGCCAAAAACCGGTCCCACATTCTTCACGTTCAGTGCGAAGAGGCAGCCATGTTTCAGCAACACGTTAAACCAGTATTATTGATATTATTATTAACAAACTACTCACAGGAGTACATGCTAAATATGACGATAGAGCCAGGAGGAATACTGACCAGTTTCACTGACACTGACATCAACATCAACATCAGCACTTTCTACTGACCCCTGAACCTTGACCCCTGAACCTCCCAAAGGGGGCGTCCACGCTTCAATTAGCATATCTACTTTGAAACGCCAGTAGAATTGCAACCAAATATAATGAAACCAGAGAAGTTCAACTAGTAGTGATTATCAACTGGCGGCCCGTGGGTCAACTCCAGCCCGCCGAACCATCCAGTCTGGTCAAAAAAAAAACAACTTAAACTTATATAACTAATCAGTAACGATCAGTCTTTTTTTTTTGAATGATCGTGGTCTTTGACAAAGACACATCTGTTCATATTTATCTGGCATGTGGAAAATAAAATGTAAATTTTTGATTTCATTATTTTTAAAAAATGTACGGTACAGTATATAAAAATTAATGTATACAGAAAAAAAAACCGACGTGTTTCACTTCAAAAAATAACAACAGAATCTGGAGAAACCACTGCTACCTACAAGGGTGTGACCTTTGACCCTTTAGGGGCAGTGGTGGCTTGGTGGTTAAGGGAGTGGACCTGGGTCAAGAAGGTTTCAGGTGCAAGTCCAAATCTGCTAAGTAACCACTGAGCATGGCACCGTCCCCACACACTGCTGCCCCCTGCTGACTTTCGTGGTCACATTTCACGGTGTGAGAAGTCGTTCACTATCCTTTAGGCAAAGCTGCATTGAAAACAT